ATCACATCATATGACGTGTTGGACGTTGTTCCAGTCAACTGCGCATCACATCATATGACGTGTTGGACGTTGTTCCAGTCAACTGCGCATCATCATATGACGTGTTGGAGTACTATGCAAGATTCAAGCCCGCGGATACACGGGGTTCACCACACCTTCATCAGGGCTCTTGTAAACAGATGCCTTTTTAAAAAAAATTGTGGGCCAAACTCCCGGGTGTTATTGGCCTCAGTATTGAGTGAGCAACCAAGCCTGACGCACGCACCATGAGCTAACAGCACTGCTGTTTAGCTTGTGACCACAGCATCGCCTAAAAATGCCAAAATATACTTGTTCATGCTATTATGTAGCGATGATATTATTTCAGAAGACCCCTGACTGATAAAACTGACCAGGGTTCTGATAATAGCAGGATTGTGGCGATATTTAGCGCTGTGCGCCATGGAGGGAGGAGTAATGCTGTGGGAGGGAGGGTGGTGGCGATGTCTTCTGACTGTGTGTGGCCACCTTTTATTGACTGCACTCACCGTACCAGCTTAGTGGTTCTCTATGGTGAACACAAATGTAGATACTTATATATAACGTGTGTATGGAGGGTATAAACAGCAAGAGAAAATTGGGAGCTGCCATTTTGGTGAGGGCGGTAGCGTCGTCTGCACGACGCCACCGTGCAGACGACGGTGTTGTTTACTGGTTACCACGATGGTTTTTGGGCACCATACCAGTTTATTTGTACAAGTATGGTGAATAAAACAGGTAGATATTTATATATAATGTGTGTATATAGCGTAATAACACCACACAGTATTGTTGGAGGAGAAATATTAGTGTGCCTGGCCTTGAGGGCGGCAGCCATCAGCTGACTGTGTGAGGTCCTACGTCTTTGTGCCTTTACTTTACATATACCCCTAGCATGTTAAGGGTTAACGATTTTTACGATTTTTTTATTATTTTTTCCATGATCAGTGAACACAAATTAACAGGTTAGGAAGAAAAAATATATTTTTTTTTCTTCAAAATTACATGCGCCTGTGGGGAAGAAAGGATATTATACCCCTAGCATGTTAAGGGTTAACATGCTAGGGGTATAATATCCTTTGTTTCCCCACAGATGCATGTAATTTTGAAAAAAAAAAAAAAAAATCTCCTAATCTGTTAATTTGTGTTCACTGATCATGGGAAAAATAATAAAAAAATCGTAAGTGGCATATATTGCCCGCTATAGGGCGGGGAAGTCTGGCAAAAAAACAGGCGCTGACTCAGCGTGCGTCCCAGGCGGTCTGTTGATCGCCAGCTGTCAGGCCGGAGTTGCCACAAAGAGATAATTACCTAATTATTTCAATGTCTCTGATTGATTTTTCATAGTTTTTTTGCTGTAATATTATTCAATAGTGTGTAGTTTGATATATTTATATAATAAAATGAGTGAATCATCGCTGTACTCAAAAATATGGTGTGCATATTGTTGATTCAATTATGTTCATCAATCAGTGAACAAATACTTTGTCGGTTATTACACTATAAGCACAGGTTATATATAAGTATCTGCATGTTTTGTTCACCATAACGAACCACTAAGTAGCTATTATGAGTCAAAAAGTAACGAGGAGTGACCGCCGTGTACCAGCCAGCCACTCACGCCCTCCCTCAAGTCACCTGACTCACCCACATTCTCCTCCCACAATACTGTTTTTGCTTTTATTCACTATATACAGACGCTATATATAAGTATCTACATTCGTGTTCACCATAACGAACCACTAAGTTGGTATGCTGAGTGGCAGTGGCAGCCTGCCACTGGCTGCCACTCCCTCCCTCCCTCACCTCACCTGACTTGCCACCATTCTCCACCCACCATACTGTTTTTGCTTTTATATACAGACGTTATATATAAGTATTTACATGTTTTGTTCACCATAACTGTACATCTAAGCTTGTATGGTGAGTAAAGGCACAAAGACGTAGGACCTCACACAGTCAGCTGATGGCTGCCGCCCTCAAGGCCAGACGCACTAATATTTCTCCTCCAACAATACTGTTTGTGGTGTTATTACGCTATATACACACATTATATATAAATATCTACCTGTTTTATTCACCATACTTGTACAAGTAAACTGGTATGGTGCCCAAAGACCATCGTGGTAACCAGTAAACAACACCGTCGTCTGCACGGTGGCGTCGTGCAGACGACGCCACCGCCCTCACCAAAATGGCGGCTCCCAACCTTCTCCTCTTGCTGTTTATACCCTCTATACACACGTTATATATAAGTATCTACATTTGTGTTCACCATAGCGAACCACTAAGCTGGTATGGTGAGTGCAGTCAATAAAAGGTGGCCACACACAGTCAGAAGACATCGCCACCACCCTCCCTCCCACAGCATTACTCCTCCCTCCATGGCGCACAGCGCTAAATATCACCACAATCCTGCTATTATCAGAACCCTGGTCAGTTTTATCACAGTCAGGGGTCTTCTGTAATAATATCATCGCTACATAATAGCATGAACAAGTATATTTTGGCATTTTTAGGCGATGCTGTGTTCACAAGCTGAACAGCAGTGCTGTTAGCTCATGCTGCGTGCGTCAGGCTTGGTAGCTCACTCGATACTGAGGCCCCTAGCACCCGGGAGTTTGACCCACGATTAAAAAAAAAAAAATGGCGTCTGTTTACAAGAGCCCTGATGAAGGTGTGGTGAGCCTCGTGTATCCACGGGCCGTTTAAATCTTGCGTAGTACTCAAACACGTCATATGACGTGATGCGCACTTTAAGGGTTAACACTTGGTGCACCCCGCGCGCCACCGCTCAACTGCGCGATTTGGGTCCCAGGGTGTCACGGGAGCGCGCGTAAATTCTGAAAAGTGTATACTCTCTTCAACTTTGTCACCTTAATTCTCATCCTACGAGATTAAATTTGGTATCATTGTGTTCGCAATAGAATTCTCTACAGCACTAAATGCATATAAACTCCAAAAGCCCGGCTAATTACCCGCAGCAAACAGAGAAAGTGCGAATGAGTTACCCAGGAGCGCCCAAACGCGATAAAATGTTTTCACTATTTTCACTCTGGTCACCTCAATTTTCGTCCTAGGTCTTTCATTTTGGTCTCAATGGGTTCGCAATAGAATTCTCTAGAGGAACATTAGCATATAAAATAAAAAACCTGGTCACGCTCCAACCGCCGATGAGTTGAAGACGGGCCACGCGTTAGCTGTGAGTGAGCGCTCAGACGCCTTCCAGCTACACTCCCAATTCCTGCCCTTTTCAAGCCTTTCTTCCGCAATTTTCTTCCTGGAAGGGCCTTGTTCATGATCACTATCCATCGTGGAGTAAGCATAGATAGTTTCTAAAGCCACAGTAAGAAATATAGCCACGGAAAATAGCCGAAATGTTCACACGTTTGAGATGCGAGGGGAGGCGACATTGGTCACAACAGTGGAGCGAAAACAATGGGCCCACGGCGTGTGCCAAGCCGCCTGAGGGCCACGAGGCTCAACAAAGAAAATGGGAAGACATTGGCGCTCATTTTAAAACCAGTCCCAAAAGAATCGGATAAAAACCTGATTTTTGGCGATTATTTAAAGTGGAGTTACCGCCAGTAAACGGATGACGCAATGCTGCGTCATGCCCGGGCAAAAGTGTTAAGGGTTAATTTTGGCAAAGTATTTTTCCCCAACTTTCTGCCAAAATACACCTGAAACCACAATCATCTAACAGTTCAAAGCCCTGAGAAATGATCTCTTGTGCGTCTCCTACAACTGCCATCCCTACCTCTACCTTGCGGTGGTTCTTGGCCCCTTATCCACCCCTTGCCCCTTATCCACCCCTTGCCCCTAGATAGATTCAGCCAGTGTCTTGCATATGGCATACCTGACAAGTTATGGTGTGTATATTTTGTATATTGTCAAATGTGCCGTTATTTTATTTGCCTCGCAATACAAGTTAGAGCGAGTCGAATCCACTACTCTCGATATCCACTCGGGGCCAACTCCTCATCTGGGCATCATACCACACAAGACCTGCTTCTTCCCTATAACTGGCAAGCTTATCCTTACTATTACATTTTCTTATCATAACCCCCCTGCATTGAGGAAGATAATAGGTTGATTCACATTACCTCTCAAGATTGCCATCCTATTGACTATCACTCATCCCAATCTCTGGGAGGAAACACCAACATCCTATTTTACCTGTCCTTGTATAATGCCTAACCCTTGTAACTTACCCAAGTCACCAACTATTGAAATTCTTATTTTTCATGTCAATATTTATCATAATACCTTGGTCCTTATTCATATTGGTTCTTGTTAATTTCATCATGCGTCATTTGTCAGAGAGGCAGTGATAGGGGTAATCAAATATGTCACATTTCTCATCACGTGTAACATTACATTAGTACCTTAAGCATTACAGTTAGTACAGTACAGTACAGTATTTTTATTTTAGAATTAACTGTGGGGAAGTTGATCAGCACCCGCTGGGTGCATTGATCTATCAATTCCACAGCATATTTGGTTTGAATCCTGCATTAATGTATCGACAGCATAACAATCAAAGAGCTTCACATAGCTGAAGACCATTTGACTTTGTGTTGATCTTGTCCTCTTTCAGTCATTACAGAATATATTATGTGGTCAGACTGTAGCACTTGCAGGAGGCTCCATATCTGCTTGATGGGGTTCTGGGAGGAGTTCTACTTCCCAAGCCCAGCCCGAGGCTAGGCTTGACTTCTGAGAGTTTGGTCCACCAGGCTGTTGCTTGGAGCGGCCCGCAGGCCCACATATCCACCCGGTTGGTCCGGCACTCCTTGAAGAAAACTATCTAGGTTTCTCTTGAAGATGTCCACAGTTCTTCCAGCAATATTTCTTACACTATTACCCTGTACTATTACTGTATCTTATACCTTTACTTTCCATGTTTATTGCTTTAGGAAATTGGAAACTATTAAATTTGCTTGAGATGACTCAAATAGTAAAGGGTGAGGTTTTTGCAGGTGTGTTGGTATCAATGGTGACCAGGCACAGTTCCAGCTGTTGATAGAAGAGCTCCTCAAGAATAAAGAATATCCCAAGAGAGAAGAGTACAACAAGAGACAGAAACGACTGGAGATCAGGAAGAAATTTATCGAGGGAATGTCTGTTGAGGAATTCTTGGAATACTTTCAGGACCCTGAAAAGGTAATTTTAATTTACAGTATATAACACCTTTGTAATTATAAAAGGATGTAGCCAAAATTGATTAAATCATTTATTGGGGTTTTGTTCCTTGAAGCTACCATACACTAAGATAGTACCATCTACTACCTCTGCTTTTCTGTCCTGGGTGGTGGACCTAGATTAGAGCTCTGGGGTCCCCTGCTGCGGTTCTCATTGCTTGGGGGAAGGAGGGCTACCTTGAGATGATTTCGGGGCTTAGTGTCCTGTGGCCCGGTCCTCGACCAGGCCTCCTCATTGCTGGACTGGTCAATCAGGATGTTGGCTGCAGCTGCTTGCAGCCTGTTGTATGAGTCACAGCCTGGCTGATCAGGTATCCTTTGGAGGTGCTTATCAAGTTCCCCACCTCCTTTTATAAAGGGAGGGGGGGTGGGGGGTCGCGTCGGTTTGGGCCCCTTGGGTTCCATTTGACCTTTCGTTAGCTTTCGTGTCCTTTGTGATGGGTATTTCCATGCTGGGATGAGGGGTTTCTTCTCCCTCTTTCCTTGTGTGTGTGTGGCTTCTTCTCCCTTGGTTCATATCCGTGGGCCTTTGGGTTCTTTGGACTGGTCCTGCGGAGATTTTTCCTCTCGGATTCTGATGGTGGTGACTCGAGAGGCCTTTGTGTGTACCTCCTGTGTGCTGTGTTTTTTGGTTCAGTTCCGGATCTGTTTTCTTGGATTCGGTTCTTCCTCCCCTTTTGTGGGCATTCCGAAGTTCCAGGGTATTCCTGGCTAGAGGACTGTTTTTTGTTAACTTTTGGGACATGGCACTGGTTTTGCGGTCCTGCATGCTCGAGTGGTGGGAGGTGTCCCACGTGTGGCAGGTTTTGGGGGGTTTTGCATCCATTCCTGTGTGTTTTCCCTCTAGCTCTTCAGTGCAGTTTTTTATTGTGTAGCTTCTGCTCCTTACAGTACTTCCATCGGCTCTCTTGGTGGCAGTTGCCCTTCTTGCCGTTCACCCTTTGTTTCTGTTGAGCATTTCTGTGCCTCTAACACGGCAAGCCTTGTTAGCCTGGTCTTTAGACATGGCATGGTTTCTGGCTCTAACTTCGTCTCCCTTTCGTTTGTTCGCTCCGAGCTACTTCTCAGGGTTTTGTCTGAGACGGCTGTTATTACAGTCTTCTTGCTGTTTTGTTGGGTGTTTGTGGGGGTTGGTTTTGCTTGCTAGTGGTTGATTTGGCCGGGGCCTCTCCTGTATTCACCTAGTTGTGCTTACAGGGATTAAGCTTTGGCTCTTTGGTCCCACCTCTCAACTGTCAGTATACTGGTGTATAGATTCCTGAGCTTCTTGAGCTCTATCATATCTACATTTGAAAGTATGTATGTAGTCAGTCTCCACCACATCACTTCCTAATGCATTCCATTTATTAACTACTCTGACACTGAAAAAGTTCTTTCTAATGTGTGTGTCGGTAACTCATTTGGGTACTCGGCTTTCACCTGTGTCCCTTTTGCATGTACCACCCATGGTAAATAATCCATCTTTGTCTATCCTGTCAATTCCCATGAGAATATTGTATGTGGAAATCGTGTCACCCCGAGCTCTTCTGTCTTCCAGCGATGTGAGGTACAGTTCACACAGCCTTTCCTTGTAATGTGTGCCTCTTGGTTCTGGGACTAGCCTAATGGCATACCTCTGAACCTTTTCCAGCTTTTTGTGCTTGACAAGGTTTGGGCTCCATGCTGGGGCTGCATACTCCAGGATTAGCTTTACATTTGTAGTATACAAAGTTCTGAAGGATTCCTTACACAGATTTCTGAAGACAGTTTTGATGTTAGCCAGCCTCGCATACGCCACCGATGTTATTCATTTGATGTGTGTTTCAGGAGACAGGTTTAGCACAATGCCACGAGGGTGTTGGGCCTGACCCTGAGAGGTCAGAGCACCAGGGTGTTGGGCTGTAGGAGTCTTTGACTCCTCTGTTAGAGCCCTTGGTCGGGGGACATTTTGATTGGTTTTGCTTGGGTTCTTAAAAATTATAAAGTGCTCTCATCACCTTAGGTAATTTACTCACACCCTTGTTGTATGGCATTCCTTTTGAGCACTTGTGAGCTGACTATGCCCCTAGGCTGCCTTCAGCATCTGTGTATTAATTTTGGCAAGTGGCCCCTGGACCCCTATTGATTTCTTCAAAAAGTGTTTTCCTTCAGGAGCCAGCAAGTTCGTGGCAGTCTTGAGTGTGTTTCAGCATTGTCTATCCCTCGGACACTGCACTCACTGGCGAGAGCGATAGATCTCCAATGTTGGTGTTGCATTACTTTGACCATTCCATACTATCTTTGTTCTACCACTTGTGGGATGGTTTGATTCCTTCCATCCTGGAGTCTGTGACTTTCGTCATCCTATTATATATAGGTTATGAAATGGTTCTGTCCCCAGGGGGTGGTGTGTCTGCCCTGAGGATGGGTGTCCTGCATCTCTACTTTCATCTCCTTTGTGTTATCTTCCTTTCCTCCCAACACCCCATCTTCTCCTGTCTTGCCTGGGGCTGTTATTATGGGGTCGTGTGTTTGTTTACTGTACATGCATACGTCATCACTTTGGTCGCTCTTTTAATTAATTTTTTCCTATTCTGGGTAGACATTTCTTACTCTTCTACCCCTCCCCACCATTATTAACAAGATCACAATGACTCATTTTCATCAGATTCAGATTTTGTAGTAATGAATGTGCTCCAACTAGCAACTGTGTGTGTATGTGCACGAGTGTATGTGCACGAGTGTATGTGCACGAGTGCAGCACGGCTTCGTGTCAGGTTACCTCAAACCCGTCACTACAAGTACCCTTGCTGGTATAGAAGATTGGTTCATCTTCTGAGGAATAACATTCTGGATGCCATGATCAATGAACCTTGCATAAACGTTATTTTCATAAAATGTTGTATTTTCTGGTACAAAATTTGCTCCCCCTGACAAACCCCTGTATATTTCTCTCTACAGTTACAGTAACTTGAACAATGATCACAAATACCTTCATTGATCATCTCTAGCACTACAATCAGTACAGAACTCAATATCACCATTCTTATCACATTTAGTATCTTGTGTAAGCAAATTTGTAAATTGCCACCACACACTACCCTGCCCTATAAATACCAACATATGGTCATCACTGAATACCACCACCGTCTCATTTTTTGCGAGAATCGGATATTCTAGCAACTAATGTTCTAATTGACAACTCAACGTGTACATGTCGTCAGTGCTGTAACATGTCGGTCACTGTTCTCCACACGACCTCACTCGTTAGTCTCACTTCCCTTGGTGTTAGACCAGCCCATTTCATATACATGAGCAATAATATTGAAGTAAACCATTTGTAATATACTCCTCATTATTACCAAGACCTCCCAGGTCTATCAAAGACTTGCAGTTATGCATGGTGTGAATGGTCCCTAGTGTGGTCGCACTGCACAGTCAGAGGTAAGGTCTAGCCTCGGACATTGCTCAGATAATATGACTAAGGCACACGAAGGAACCAAAGGCTCTTGATTTTGTTCAATATGGCAAATGATCGCCAGAGGTATCTAGGGGTGAAGGTTCCAATGGGACATGATCCACACAGATTCATTGCGACATTCAAATGTTGTGAGGATTAATTGTTAATAGTTTGTAGTCTGATTCCAAGTACTGTAGTATTTTAATTTAAGTAAATAAATTTATTTGATATTCATTTGAATATTATTCATTGTGTTATTAGGTAAGAAGCTCAGGGAAACGTGTGTGCTTCAATGCGTGTGTCATGGCCTAGATGTGAACGTGATCATTATTCCCTTGTGCATGAAACACATTTTTCTTAAGATTATCACAACCAAGAGATAAATTTATTTGTAATTCTCTGGTTATCATTTATCCATTACAGCTCGATAACCAGTATTAAGTTGACCTGGTCAACTTAATACTGGTCAACTTACTGTAGCCACATTATTGTGACTCATCGCCTGCACCAATATTAAGTAATTGACAGTAGTATTTTACAATTCTATTATTTTAACAGGTATTTTGTGATACGGAAAAAACGATGAATCCTACATACATGGATAATGCTCGTGCTCAACTGAAGCGAGATTTGCCATACCACCTCATCAGGGATATTGATAATGAGCTCAGGAAACACAACTACCACTACTTGCCTTCACTCAGAGCTCTGCAGGTAAAGTAATCTCTCCAGGTGTTTATATAGGCATGTTCATGCTGTCATACTATGAACACACCTTGCATCCTCTAGCTACACATAGCTGATTGCACTGTGTCTCTGTCTTTGTGTCTGTGTGTGTGTGTGTGTGTGTCTGTCTCTGTCTGTCTATATCTCTATGTCTCTCTCTCTATCTCTTTCTCGCTTTTTTTTTATTTTTAAACTATGACACAGGTTCGTAAGGACTGTCAAATGAGGTACCTAGTGAAACTGCAAGCAAGAGCCGTTATCCTACCTCAGCTCGTCTGAAGCCTGCTCCTAGAGACCCATTTATTTCATGAGCCTATTATATGCATCAATAGGAATGAACTTTATTCATTAACAACATCAGGTAACAATCATATAAGGAACAGGATGAGCCTGTAGCTGACTGTGCCAGAGCCTTCATGTGTGGTCAGTTCGCCTGATCTCCCAGGTATAGGTAATCAGAAGCACTGTACAGTAACTGACTGGAAGAGTGTTACTAGCGGAGTACCACGGGGTTCAGTTCTTGGACCAGGAATGTTCGTCGTCTACTTGAATGATCTACCAGGAGGAATAGAGAATTATATGGACATGTTTACGGGTGATGCTGAGATACTGGGGAAGAGTGATGTTGTCGTGCCCTTCAGATTGATCTAGATTAACTAGGTGCTTGGAGTGACATGTGGTAAATGGAATTCAATGTGAATAAATGCCATGTTATGGAATGTGGAATCAGATAAAATAGACCACACTCGACTTAAAAATGATATGGAAAGGAATTGAATAACTCATAAACAACAAGATCTAGGGGTGATTTTGAATAGTAAACCTTCACCAGAGGAACACAATAACATTGTGAGAGGAGCCTCCGTATGCATAGCTTTCCAACTTCAGACTTGCTTTTAATTACATAGATGATGAAATACTGAAGAAACTGTTCGTGACTTTTTTGAGGCCAAATTTGGAATATGCAGGAGTTGTATGGTGCTCATATCTCAGGAAGCACATAAATAAACTGGAAAAGTTGCAAAGGCATGCAACAAAATGGCTTCCGGAATTGAAAATCTTGAGTTACAAGGAGAGACTAGAGGCGTTAAACATGGCAAAACTATGTAACAAGAGAGCAGTACATAAAGACATAATGACAGAACAGCCACAGGGGCGCGGTGCCAGACAGTTGGTGCAACACTATGGAACATTCACACCTCAGAGAAGCTAAACATGGGATAGGTCAACTTTGGTCAATGGTGATGTGGTCACGAGGTTGTCAGTTATGATGCCGTCATCTTGAGGTTATCTTGAGATGATTTCGGGGTTTTAGTGTCCCTGCGGCCCGGTCCTCGACCAGGCCTCCACCCCCAGGAAGCAGCCTGTGACAACTGACTAACACCCAGGTACCTATTTTACTGCTAGGTAACAGGGGCATAGGGTGAAAGAAACTCTGCCCATTGTTTCTCGCCGGCTCCTGGCATCGAACCCAGGACCACAGGATCACAAGTCCAGTGTGCTGTCCGCTCGGCCGACCGGCTCCCCCGGTCATGCTAATCTACGATGATTAACTCTTTCATGTCAAAAGCAAGTTGAAGACCTTGCACGCCTCGTTCAGCAGGATGAAGAGTTGGTGGAAGTGTGGGTCGTGGCTCTGGGAAGGACAGTGTCTTGAGGTCACGTTGAACAACTGGTGTAGGTAGATACAGCTCTCTTGTGCCCAGCACATCCCTCTGAAATATAGATTCCCTCTGAAATAAAGGGAATACAAAGAAAATATATGGCATACATAGACGTGATAATGCACCTAAATTATTGGCATTGTCTCGAAGCTCTTCAAATGTACTCGCTAGAAAGGAGACGAGAGAGATATCAAATAATATACATGTGGAAAATACTGGAGGGCAAAGTACCAAATCTACACAGTAAAATAGCAACATACAGTACTGGAGTGAACGATATGGAAGAAAATGCAATAGAATCAGTGAAGAACAGAGGTGCCATAGGCACAATTGGTGAACACTGTATAAATCAGAGGTTCACGGTTGTTCAACATCCTCCCAGTGAGCATAAGAAATATTGCCGGAACAACCGTACTCACCCAGTTGAACTCGCCTAGTTGTGCTTGCGGGGGTTGAGCTCTGGCTCTTTGGTCCTGCCTCTCAACTGTCAATCAACTAATGTATAGGTTCCCTGAGCCTATTATGCTCTGTCATATCTACACTTGAAACTGTGTATGGAGTCTGCCTCCACCACATCACTTCTTAAGTGTCAACTACTGACACCAAACAGAAAAATTTATATCATCTCTATGGTTCATTTGGGCACTCAATTTCCACCTGTGTTCCCTAGTGCATGTGTCCCTTGAGTTAAATAGTCTTGTCTTTATCTACCCTATCAATTCCTTTGAGAATCTTTTATGTGGTGATCATGTCTCCCCTAACTCTTCTGTCTTCCAGCGATGTGAGGTTTAATTCCCGTAGTGTCTCCTCGTAGCTCATACCCCTCGGTTTGGGTACTAGTCTGGTGGCAAACCTTTGAACTTTTTCTAGTTTAGTCTAAGCTTGACTAGATATGGACTCCATGCTGGAGCTGCATACTCTAGGTGCAGATAAAAGTCACTAATGTGGCTGAAAAATGTTGACCAAACAACACTAGAAATTGAAGAGATGACAACGTTTTGGTCCGTCCTGGACTATTATCAAGTCGATTGCCTCCCAATCTATCTTCCCTTGGTTAAAGTCTCCCATGATTAGTAGTCCGAATCTGTTCCTGCTAGCGACAGAAGCTGCTCTCTCGTATATTAATGGTGGCCATGTGTGTACCCTTCCCTCCCTCACCGTGGAAATCTTAAAGAGAAAACTATCATGGTGGTATTGAGGTAGATAGCAAAGGCTATTACAATAGCAAGCTCTGAGTATTACAACTAGAAGATAGAAGAAAAAAGAGAGATGATATGATCACCACTTACAAAATATTAACAGGAATTGACCAAATTGATGAAGAGGAATTCTTGAAACCAGTAACTTCACGAATAAGAGGACACAGATTCAAGCTAAGGAAACAGAGGTGCCGAAAAAATATTAGAAAGTTTTCTTTTGCAAACAGAGTGGCAGACGGTTGGAACAAGTTAAGTGAGTAAGTGGTGGAGGCCAAAACCATCGGTAGTTTCAAACCGTTGTACGACAAAGAGTACTGAGAAGATGGGACACCATGAACGTAGCTCTCGTCCTGTAACTACACTTGGGTAATTACAGGAAATAGCCCAACTGACTGCTGAAGCATGCAAAGTCTGAAGCATGTGCCTTTACAGAGGGTCCAAAAGAGGACTACTCTAGAAAGAGAATGCAGATGACTCTACAAAAGGAAAAAATCACAGAAATGCTTAAGCAACACAACTTTTAAAACAAAGAATAAGAAATCTGAACAGCGAGGTTGAAGAAATACTGTTGAGCACACGCTGAAGCGAACATACGAGCCTGAGGAAATGAAGCTGGAACAGAAAGCTATACAAGAGATAAAGAAAAATTCAAAATATTCACATGCAAAGTCAAAATAAAAAGCCTCTTCTAGTATTGAACCTTTACTTACAGTAGAAGGTTCATACACAGAGGAGGACAAAGAAATTGGTGAAATCCTAGGAGACCCATTTGAGGTTTTGTTTAGTATCCCATTAAACAATGTGAAAGTAGAAGATCTGGACAACTTCTTTATGAATGCTATCCAGACCTAGACATTATAATTGCTATTAACACAAACTCAGACTTTAAAAGTGAAATTGACAACATGCCCATGTACTCAGGCACCAGATCCGGACTTGTAGAACTCTACATTTCTTTATGAATACTGAATAAAGTGCCAGTAGCGCGAGCACTTGGTGTAATGTGGAGGAAGAGCCTTTAAACAGGAGGAGATGCCATCAGCACTTAAATTGGCAGATATAACTCGTCTGCACAAGGGGGAGGGGCAGTAAAGCTTTGGAAAAAAGTATAGACCAGTTGCATTAACATCACACATAATAAAAGTTTTTGAAAGAGTAATTAATAATCAAATCTCCAGTTTTATGGAAAACGATGAGCTTCACAATCCAGGTAAACACGAATCTAGAGTAGGAAGATCCTGTCTTTTACAACTCCTCAATCACTATGGCAGAGGCTCATGAACGTTAGAAGAAAGACTAAATGCTAATGAACAAATCACACGAGCCGCAGTGAGGGTTTGAACCTACGTGCTGTGTGTTCCCAGGCATTCTCTAGTCAACTGTGCCACGATGCGATCCTTGGTGCAGTAGTACCCCAGGTTGCTATTCTTTTGACCATGCAGTGGCACAGTTGACTAGAACGTGCATATGGGAACACCCAGCACATAGGTTCGAACCCTCATCACGGCTCCTGTGGATTTCTAATTTGATGTACAGTACTGTGGTTCCTCCGTTTTAGAATTTAATTCGTTCCCAGAGGCGGTTCGAAAACTGAAACGATTTTTCCCATAAGAAATAATGTAAATTTAATTAATCCATTCTACACCCCCAAAAATATTAACTTAAAATACATTTTATACATACTCATATTTTATACCACAGTATGTACAATTATATCTTGCCTTTATTGAGGATTCTTATTGGCACTTGGAAGATGGTGAGGGGGGAGAGAAGAAGTGTTAGTGTTTGGAAGGGGAGTTCCCTTCCATTATAACGGCAGTGATGACATTTCTGGGGTATTTTTCTGTTACATTTTGCAGGCATACCACAAGGAACTGGTTGTGGCTCACTGCTTGCTTGCTTGTCTTACTAAGAATCTGTCTATAGACACTTGTTTTCCCTATGCTTAAACACTTGTCTGTAGTGAGACATCACATCATCTCCTTATGAATCTCTTGTTTTTCCTCTATCATCCTTACAACTATTTCTTAGTTTGAACTTTACCACTGAATTTCTTGGAACCCATGGCATGATATATAATAAGAACTTCTATATTCACAAACCAAAAAAGCACAAAAACAATGAA